TTCCTGTCTTTCTATAAACAAAGTGAGTGACAAAAGTGAAATCCTTCCGCCTTTTGCTCTGCAGACTCACAAGGGGCTCAAGCAGAAGAAAAAAAAACTCAACTGTGCTCTTTAACAACAGCATTTGCATATTTTTATAGTCTCTCAAAGAAAAATAGCCGGCAGGCTAACAGCTCCAGCAGCAGTGTTAGCTGAAAACGGAAGCAGTGAGATCTATGTGTGTGTGTTTGTGTGTGTGTGTGTGTGTGTGTGTGTGTGTGTGTGTGTGTGTATGCTCACAGCATGGCCACTCTGTCCCTCTGCAGCAGATTGAGTCTGGGTCCAATGTGGAAGGAGGCCCCTCTCCCTGGAGAAGGGAGGGAAGGTGGGAGAGTTGAAGCTCCTCTTCTGCAAGAGAAATAACAATGTTAGAATCAGTTGGAACTGCATATTGAACAAATATTTTTTCAGCGGCACGCAATACACATTTTGTCTCCAGGCGCCTTTTTTTCCTCCAGTTGTCCAGATGCTCACCATGTTTACTAATAAAGTCTGTGTTGATATCTGATCACACCCCTTTCACTTTATTTATTGAGGTGAGTGACTGATCCTTGAAGTGAGAGAAAATGTACTTTTCTGTGTATGCAAGCAAATAACAATGCAGCACTGAGCTCATTACATCAAAGACGATATAGATAGATAGATAGATAGATAGATAGATAGATAGATAGATAGATAGATAGATAGATAGATAGATAGATAGATAGATAGATAGAAATATCCAACTCTGTCACCCACTGCGAGTGTACTGTATAGCCATTATCGTGCGTACCAGAAATTAGACTCATTACCCCTTTCACTTTATTTATTGAGGTGAGTGACTGATCCTTGAAGTGAGAGAAAATGTACTTTTCTGTGTATGCAAGCAAATAACAATGCAGCACTGAGCTCATTACATCAAAGACGATATAGATAGATAGATAGATAGATAGATAGATAGATAGATAGATAGAAATATCCAACTCTGTCACCCACTGCGAGTGTACTGTATAGCCATTATCGTGCGTACCAGAAATTAGACTCATTGACCTTTCCAGCTTACACATGAGACACATATGTTTCCTTAGCTTAGCCATTATTCAACCTCTGAGCACTGCAGTGCACCCTTAGCATGCACATTTTATTAAATTGAGTGAGAGCGAACTAGAGGAGTTTAGAATGATACATTGCATGTTGCCTGAGTTAAGGGCAGCATTTTAGCTGTGGGGCTGTCCGTGTGCCTGGGTAATGAGTAATGTGTGGTAGGCAGTTTGGCAGAAGGTCAGGCCACTTCTAGCAGGCTGGTGAACGTTGCTTTTGTGACCCTGTGGGCTGGATGTGTGAGTGGACCAAGAGGGAGAGAAATAGAGGAGGAGACAAAGAGAGACAGAGAAATGGTAGAGACAGAGAGTGAGGAAAGGCCCAGAGGTTTAGGAGATCATATAGGATGCCAAAATAAGGATACAGATGTATGTAAACCCTGCTGTTGCTGCTGTGGGTGGGAACGTAATTAAGATGTTAAAATTATTTTCTGACAACCAAGCATGCCCACACAAACAAAAACAGAAGATTTCATATAGTTGCTAACACGTTTACACTGTCATTTGTCAGTCATACGCCACCTTTTTCAACTGGCTTGAACCACAGATTTCTCTAATTTTTACAACTCAAAATAGATACACAAAGGCTCTTTTTATACCACTTAAAACTTTGACTTATATACTATGACTTGCATATTTCATCAAAAGTATCTACAGCTAAATGCTTCTGTTTCCATCACCTCTCCAGCAGAGTTAACATTCCCGTCTGGTAACCCACTCCAGGACAGGCTCCATCATTTATCCCTGATCGGGTTGAAAGCAGCAGAACTGAATTTGTGTTTCGACGCACTGCACTGCCATAAACAGCTTCACATTTCTTTCCCATTTTCACCATGCATGCCAGTTACAGTAAAACAACACATGAGGAAAATTACAGCTGTATTATTTTATTTGCAGTACCTGTAATAGGCCCCGTATTACACGCAATATTTATTGAGCCACGCGGCTTTCCCATGGATTTATTGTGTTGACAGTCAAATGTAGTTGTTTCGTATAACTTGAGCATAAAATAAATTATTTCATCCGCATATGATCTTCTTTTTTAATAAGGGATGAGACAGTTCTCAACTAGCGGGTTTGTCAAACCTAACAGTACGCACTTTCTGCAACCAACAGCAAATCCTTAAATCCTCAGATGTGCTGTTAAAACCAAACTTCTATGTTTCATCACTAAAAACCACACTATGTCTGGCCACTGGCAAAAGATTTCCATGTTTCTCACAGTCAACAAAATACCCTCAACTATAGAAACTCTTCTCCTCTTCTGTATCACAGAGAAAGACACTTTTGCTTTTGTGAGTGCACCTGAAATGGCAAGAGACCTTCACTTCCAATGCGTGGTTCCTCTGTATTTCAATTTGATTGGGATTTTGGATGATTTGTGCTGTGCATCTCTGGGGAAATAAATGCTTTGATTAATGTAATCCTGAGCAGGGAGGTACCACAAACCGCACTCCTCAGGGAACGGTGCTGTTTGACAAACAAAAACACGCAGGGCACCACTTCAGTCCACACACAATGGATACATTTTAAATGGCAGAGAGCACATCACAGTGCTTGTGTGCAACTTTTTCATCAGATGAATATGTTGATGCATAATTGAGATGGAATATCAGATAATCCCATATAATCAAGTGTTTCATGAAAATGGACAGCAGGAGATAGATTATTGCTGTGACCTGCAGCAGCAATCAGTGCAGTGTCTGTTATAGGATGTCCAAGAGATATTGTTAGTCCACATGGGACAGTTAAGAGGGATCTGTCAGTTGCACACACACAGAGAGAGAGAGAGAGAGAGAGAGAGAGAGAGAGAGAGAGAGAGAATCCTTTTGAAAACTACATTGAATCATAAAAAAGAAGAAAACTAAGAGCAGGGTCAACATTGTTTCTTTGAGCATTAACAATCATTTGAATTAATGTCTTATGAATAAATTAATTCTGCGGAGCTGGGTTTTCGCATTATGATTTCAACAGGTATCAGTTTACGATATCAGTACCCTATGCTGCTCCTAATAAAAAAAAAAAGAATAAATCAATAATCAAGGACAATACCCCAATTACTCACCATTAGCGCTTTTACCATCCTGACTGAGCGCGACACCTGCTGGTGACAAAATACTCCCCCATACGTCACTGTCAAGCGTAAATGATCTCCCCAGCAGGGAACACGGGGACCTTGTTACATAAACAAATAAATAATAAACAGCCTACTTTTCAGATAAAAAACATTCAACTTCAAAAGTCGAAGGCTTGAACATTTGATATTGCTTTGACTCCTCAGAGTGAGTGAATCCCTTTCCTCATACTGGATATCACGTTTCTTATGGCCGCACGAGACGTTCTTTGAAAGCGAGCAGTATGAAATGCATAGCAGTAATTTAGACCAAAATCTGCTGGAAATTAATGAATAGACAGCCCCGTGGCGGTGGCCCTACTTTGCCATTCAATGTAAACAAATCCACGAGGTTCTCTCGGTTTTTGAGTCTGATCCAAATGAAATCTTCTGGGAAGGGGAGTGCGGAGTCCTCTCTTGGGTTTTCTACAAAACCTGATTCAGTGTTGTTATACATCAATACTGCATGAAATCTAAAATAAGCTTTTCTGTCAGAATAGCTTTTTAGAATGATTATTGGTGTAAAATGGAGCATTGGTTAACATGTTTTGCCTGTCTTTGTTATGATACCTAGGTTATTATTCTAGCAGTATAGTTCATAAACAAGGAGATCCCTTGACACCAAGTGTCACACCTCTCTTGTATACTGAAGCTGGGGTGACCGTATGTCAATCACTCTAAATTTTCTTTGGACTTTTTTATTTATACCACTGGGTGAATCCATATGTTGTAGGGGTCTGATGGTAACGTCTAAACAATTCCGCGTCAAATTTGAAAAGGAGTGTCGTGTTTGCCCTATCGTCAGTCGATCTTGGTAGTTAAATTAAAAGACGTTTCTTGCAAATCCCCAAAGGACTGCTCAGTTTGCATCCGTTTTGGTTGCCACTTTCTCCCCATGCCTTTCTTGCGTTGAGTTGCCTTGCACTCTGTGTTTCCGCTTGGAAGCATCGCACAGTCATCTCCTTAACTCTTGAGAGGCCGACGTTTCAGAAAAAAATAATAATAATTAATCGATATTAGCGATGGTTATTGCGTCGATATATTTATATTATCTTGCTTAGTTGAGTTTAAAAATTGCAACAGACTAGTTGAGAGAGAAACTATATTTTAGACCTAATTTTGTCAATAAGAGTGAAATGATTGTAAACATAAATGCAGCCAGTGCGATTTCAGTGCTTTTCAAAAGACCTAGCTATTTCGAAATTTCCATTAGAACACGATCTGTTGTATTTGTTAGACTTCACTGTTCATTACTCTTATCTAAGGCTTGAAAATAGAACTAGGCTATGTGTTGTTATTTTATTATGGCCCTGAGAAATAGCCGACTAACGGTAACACTGTCTTGTCAATGATTCGCCAAAATAATTCACTAAAACTATGGGACATTGTACTTAAATGGGGATTTATTGATACATTTCCACATTCTTTAGAGTTTTCAGTCATTTGTCTTGATTTATGTATTTAAATTCAAAAGCAACCAATTGGAATAGCCGGGAGGGGGGCCTAAGTGCCTGAAGCGAGTTCTCTAGACCTGTCAATCTTGCCCGTGCTATCCAATCAACGAGAGCCGTTCACCCGACTTCCTTTATTTGGGGAAAAGACGTGGACGATGTACGCAGCACAGGGTAAACACTCGCGTGTCCTCGAGCTCTGAGGGAGGGACGGAGCTAACTGTCAGAGAGAGAGAGAGAAAGAGAGGGAGGGAGAACAAGCGAATGAGAAAGAAGGCATGCAACACTGCTTTGCACTGTAATACTGGATTGTACTTCAACTGGAGCGGTTTGGCAGGTTTAAACACATCAAAACAGAACAAAGAGACAGACTTTACAGCACCATAAAAGAATCTGCAAAAGAAAAGAAATAAAGGGACGGCGCAAGTGAAATCGCTGCGGCTAAAAAACAAAAGAACTGAGGAAGAACCACGTTTAATATTTTTCCACTCGGTAACGGAACATACGTTTGGACTTATTATTTTAAGGGCATATTACAACTTCTTCAAGCGCCAGAAGTTTCTTGCGGGACAAAGTTTTGAAACTATTTTTAATCTCTCATTTTTTATTTGTTTTCAGACTATTTAAAAAGAAAATATAGATCGAAGGACTGTTTGACTTCCGAGGGGTTTTCAACGCTGACATAAAAGTGGAATTTATCGTTTCAATCATTCATGTTCGAAATATATGAATGCACAAATTATTCAAGAAACGGATTTCGTCCTCTCGCCTACAATATCTTTCTCTTTGCTTTTTTGTTGATGGTGTTTGCCAAAACACAAGTCAGACTTTTAACATTTGAATAATTCATGAGAAATAATTTGCCTGCATTCAAAAAGTTTCTGCAAAAGGGAGGGGGTGATCTGCAAACATATTCATAAGGTTAGCGGAATGGCCACAGCGGCTTCCAACCCTTATCTACCCAGCAGTAGTATATTATCGTCCGGCTCGATCGTGCACTCGGACTCCGGAGGTGGGATGCAGCAGGTCAGTGCTGCGGTAACCTCAGTGTCCGGTGGGTACAGAGGAGACCCAGCGGTTAAAATGGTACAAAGCGATTTCATGCAGAGCGCAATGGCAGCGAGCAACGGGGGACATATGCTGAGCCACGCTCACCAGTGGGTGACGTCCTTGCCTCACGCTGCAGCGGCGGCTGCAGCTGCCGCAGTGGCCGCTGCTGAAGTAGGATCGCATTGGTCGTCTAGTCCCGTTGGAATGACAGGCAGTCCGCAACAGCAGCAGGACGTGAAAAATAACTCGGGGAGAGACGATTTGCACTCTGGGACTGCGCTGCATCACAGACCCCCACACTTAGGTCCCCACCAGACTCACGCGGGTGCCTGGTGTAGCACAACCGCTGCCCACATCCCTTCTCTAACTGGGAGCCAACAGCAGCAGCAGTCCCTCATATACTCGCAGCCTGGAGGCTTCACGGTGAACGGCATGCTCAGTCCGCCGGGCAGCCAAAGCCTAGTACACCCGGGTCTGGTGCGTGGCGACACCCCAGAGCTCGATCACAGCAGCCACCACCACCACCATCACCACCAGCATCAACATCACCAGCAAACACACCACGGAGTGAACAGCCACGACCCGCACTCCGACGAGGACGCGCCGACGTCGGACGATTTAGAGCACTTTGCCAAGCAGTTCAAACAACGCCGGATCAAACTGGGCTTCACACAAGCGGACGTGGGCTTGGCGTTGGGCACTCTGTACGGGAACGTCTTCTCGCAGACCACAATCTGTCGCTTCGAAGCTCTCCAGCTCAGCTTTAAGAACATGTGCAAGCTGAAGCCGTTGCTCAATAAATGGCTGGAGGAAGCAGACTCTTCCACAGGCAGCCCCACCAGCATCGACAAGATAGCGGCTCAGGGCAGGAAGCGCAAGAAGCGCACCTCCATCGAAGTGAGCGTCAAAGGTGCGTTGGAGAGTCACTTCTTGAAATGTCCCAAGCCTTCGGCCCAAGAGATAACCTCTCTAGCGGAAAACTTGCAGCTGGAGAAGGAGGTGGTGAGAGTTTGGTTTTGCAATCGGAGACAGAAAGAGAAAAGGATGACGCCCCCAGGAGTGCCGCAGACGCCGGAGGATGTATATTCTCAGGTCGGCAATGTGAGTGCAGATACACCGCCCCCCTCCATGGACTGCAAACGAATGTTCAGTGAGACATAGAACAGCATACAAGACTAAAAATATTTTATATATATCTGATAAAACACAGACTATCATCAAGATAGCAAAACATTTTGATACTGTGATTGTGAGGGAATATTGAGACTGCAGATGTGTTATATATTTTTTTCTCACAAGAACAAATCACCCCTCTTCCTTCCCAACCCTAAACCGCCCGCTAATCTTCTTCCAGGCCCTTAAATGTCTTAACCTAAAAGGTTGTGTCTGCTCTTTCTTTCAGGGACATTTTTTAGTAGATTACTTAAAAGATGCAAGTTTAACTGGGCCGAGCGAACCGGGCGACCAGAGGGTGACAACTACAAGTTCGTTCCACCAGGTAATATTGGCGCATTAACTTCAACTGAAAAAATAACAGAAATTAGCAATGAGCAACAAAATCTTTTACCCCCATACCCTGTTACACCAATGTCTTGTTTGAGAGGCAAAAGACGCAGGCAATTGTGTATGTTGTTATGGGACATTAAACCTCAAACAAAGGGATGAAATTCAGCTGAAACAATGCGAAGAACAGTGGCATCCACGAAGCTTCCATCCAACTTGGCAGAGAAGACTGCATGGTTTGATATTATCCAAAAAATATGGAATGGATTTTTTCCCCTGGCCTTCCAATCCTCACAAAAACAACAAAAGACTGCTCTCAGTTTCTGATCTCCAAGATCACATCTTTTGAAATTGTTTTTTTTTTTTTTATGTAAAGAACTGAATCTTACGTGGATTTTTGAGGACAACTTTAAATCAAAGATGACTTTTGAAAAGACTGAATATTCCGCAGCTGCACCTCATTGAAAATCTTCAGTGCGAACATCCGTTGCCAAGTGGGCCAGAGCTGGTGCTGTGGATGTTTTCATGTGCTGCCATTTCCAAGCAGTATTCTTTGGTAGGTTTTAATAAACAAGACTATGTAAAGCCGGCAATATAGATTCATTAGATCAGATGCTGATCGGAATTATTTACTTAATATTTTTCATTAAAATGCTTTGTTTTAATATTTTATTCGGGATACATACGAACTATTCCAAACAGTTATTATTTATTTCCCCCAGGCTTGTGTAAAATGTTTTCCCCTGTTTTCGTTGTTGACCTTATTTGTTTTGTTTAATTTTGTATTCTCATTTTTAAAAGAGCACAAATCTACACGAGCTGACTTTGACAGTAGGTAATAAGGGTATATTTTGATGTGATGATTTGACTGTAATTTAATTTCAGTAGTGATTCCGTAAGAGATGATCGAGAACAATAAATTTGTTAGAATGAAACAAAATTGTGTGTTGTGCCTAAGATCGTAGCTGTTTCTAATTTTTATAGGATGCAATATTTGAGCAATATTTAGCCAAATGCATTTTAAAATGATAGCTGCTGAATATTAATAGCCTTATGTTATGACATGCAGAATAGAAAATAACACTCGAAAACCAAGCCTTTCTAATATTATGCCAGCAATATAGATATGTTTGATTATAATACAACCGTCATATAAATATTTCACACAATGCATTTTTATAAAATAAATAAAACAGATCAGTGTAACGTGGCAATCGTGTAGGCCTCGACAGAATTTTTTCGACAGAGTTTTGCATTTCTACAACTTTTAGAATTTCTATTAAGCTAACATTCTCCTCTTAGACAAACCAGCAAAGGTGTCACCTTAATGTAAGTGTCACCTTAGTGTAAATTACTTCAGTGTACAACCATTTTGTTAGCAGGGTGAAATGTGTCTCTGTGACAAGTAATAGAGATAGCAACGTTCAGTAAATCTCACGAGAGAAAGCACAGAAAAGTTGATCGCTTGTGGAGGTGGAGTGTTTACTGTGTCACGCACTTTTGTGTAGTGTAGGCTACCTGTTTTATAGCGTTCATGCCAACTGTCAAATCCATATGCCTTCTATCAACCCAATCACCATGTTTTTGGACTTAATTTTATTCAGAATTACACAGGTCTGCTTTTTGCAAACGCCTTCTCTATCTATCTTCTCTATCTATCTATCTATCTATCTATCTATCTATCTATCTATCTATCTATCTATCTATCTATCTATCTATCTATCTATCTATCTAAATATAATCTAAATATTGCTAAACAATCACTTTTTAAATCATGCACAGTCCCAGTACATAACCCTGAAAACTAAAACACGTGTTTACGGACATTTTACACATGCATGGCTTTTTATTGCATTTTTTTCGAGGTGTTTAGGAATAGCAAAATATTATAACATTTAGTCAATTTTTTTTCTCAACAAGTGAATTTCTCAATTTCTCTCTGAATTGCGCGCCTGCTTCATGCATCGTGTGATAACCTAAATATGGTATTGTTTTTATTATTTATTATGTTATTTTATATTTAGTCTCGCAAACATCTTATGCCAATTTTCTGTGTTGCTTGTAAAAATAAATCAGATTACTTAATTTCACAACGGATTGCCAATGCCCCCAATACTAACAAACAGGCCTGTATATAATATAATTTATGCTGTAAACTTTAATCGGTAAAAACATGTCATAAAATGAGTTAATGCTATATCCCTAACATTATGTAAGCCAAATACTGAGGATGAAATTATTCTGAGCTAGGCCTCATAAATAAAACGGACGAAGTGGTTTGTACACGTGCAAAAACGAGAGTGTGATCGCTTCAACTTTTTCTTAAGATGACTATTCAGCAAAACACGCAATTCCTTCTCTCCAAGATTTAAATTTCGCGGATGAATTCCCATACACTAGTTGCTTAGCAACTAAATTCAATCAATGTTATAGAAGTATGCATCCCTTCTCTTTGTCGCTAATAATAAGAGTGCCAGTCTGACATTCAGACTGATTTTGTGCGACCCGAGTTAATGCTGTCTTTGAGAAGTACGCTAAATTAATTCATAATTAAAATGTAGACATTTTGAGGGGGAAAATCAGCTAATGTGTATGATTGCTGCATGATCGCGTTGTTTGCCAGTATTATTTATTAAATAGATTTTAGGTGTCGAGGAAAATGTCTGGGGGGAAAAACACATTTTGGGTTCTGTCTTCAACATCATTTTTGATGTCCAATGACCCTATAGTTTTCTGTCGGGTATTAGCATGGCTTAAATACAGAAAATGGTATTTTAATTTTCGAATTTACTCAAATTTAGCTTTCTGTAGTTTGCAGGGAGGCCTGGAATATGTTAAGCATGCTCATGACAAACTGCACTAAACTCCATAGTGCTGTCACATGACTTTCGACCCACGTGCTCAGATGTATTCAGTGCTGATCAAATATAACAAAGAACTAGGCCTATATGATTTTACCTATATGAAGAAAAATTACCAGGTTATTTTCTTTTTCTTTCTTTCTTTCTTTCTTTCTTTCTTTCTTTCTTTCGTTTTATTTATTTATTTACTTGGGCTACATATTTATTTATTTTTGTAACTCAGGGTCCGGGCCGTTGTATAGCAGAAATTATTTGGTAAATTTTACGGATTATAAAAGCAGCTCAGATTATTATAAGCCTTTTAGTTTTGTAAGTATGAGGGTCTTTCATAAATAATCGAGCAGTTTTCGTGCACGTGCAGTCACATTTACACTTTTTCTACCCCCACGTTTTAGCCTAAATAACATTTATTTTATTTCATTTATGATTTCTTGCCAAACCTTCCTATTAAAAAAAACTACAATTGTGTCACTGTCAACAGAATGTTAACACTGAACCCGAAGTCCAAGTAACTCTAATATATGTGTATATTTGTAGCAGTAATAGGCTATATAACGTTACACCGGTACTTTTGGAAAGACGCTTCAACTTGACCAGTGACTGAAAAATCAGAATACAGCTATACGGTAGTGGCCTACCTCGACTACTACATGCTAATGTGTCACACTCCATAAACTTTTCCAGAACTCACATTGAAAACATAATTGTAGAAAATGTGCAATTTTAAAATAATAATGATATAAATATATAAATGAATAATAAATATATTTGATAATAATAATAATAGAGTGAATGCCATATCGCTGGGAATCCAGCTACTATCGTAAAATAATGTTTGATATAGGCCTACTTTAATTTTCTAAATACTATTCATAAATGTACGCTAATTTGGGGTCATAATTACTTGTCAATAGATCTTTAACGAGTAATTTTAAACAGGATATCAGACTGGTAGGCACCCACTAAGATATATATGTGCTATAAATGCAATTTACAATGTGTAAACAGAATTCCACTTTGAACATCTCATATAATATCAGAATAACCAATTAGATATTTTGTACAGAATGAACAACGTGGTCTCTTAACTGAACAAACGAACACAAACACTTGTTTTGATCAGTGTCAAAAAAGGTAGGCTAATGTTAATGTAATCGATGAGTTCTATTGTCATTATGTTGGTAATAAGCGGTAATGGCTGTAACTTTCAAATATCTGTATTGCTATGATCCAAAATCACTACATTTTGGTACTCTTGGCAGAATCCTTGGTTTTTATATTCGTCATTTGTCACAGTGTATTTAAAAATAAGGTTGTCAAATTATAAAAGTATTATTTCCCTGTGAAATGTTTACTCCTTGTATAGACTTATTACTATTACTTTTACTATTTATTCAGTTTCTTTTTTTTAAGTATTTACTTCTCAAAATAGTCGACCACTTAACACGAGGAATAGTTAGTTACGCGCAAGTGGTGTTTTATACATTTATGAATTCTGCATAGTAATGAAATTCTTATTGTTGTCATTTATATATATATATGTATGTATATATATATATATATATATATATGTAGGCCTATCCATTTTGCATACTCATTACACATATTGTGTGAACATATTAAAACATGAAAAAATAACGACAATAATAATAGTTATAATAATATAATAACAATAAATAATAATGTCAGCTTGGTTATTAACAAGTAACAACAGTATCATCTTTTCTGTATTTACTTAAAATATATTCGAGTTAAAACGCATAAACATTTTAAATCAAAAATAGGTTTCAGAGCACACAGTCTCAGTCACTGTACATGCTGTAATGCTGTACTTAGACTAACTTCAGCTGCCGCAGCGTGTCATAAGTAAGGGCCCTCAGAACTCCATGGAAGTCCCCAGTTGTGTTGTCTGGAGGACCAGCCACTCCCCAGTCACTCTCACCCTCTGGAGGCACACTCTAAACGTCGTTCATGTTCAGCGGGCGCAGGTGCTACTCCCCTCTGCAAACCAGAGATTGCATTTCCATCACATGCCTCCTGAATTCATGTGAAACAATAACCAGACACATTTGCGCTTTGCTCAAGCCACACTAGACCACGTATGTGGTGTCTTTATTGTTAAGTTGCAGCATTTACCTATACCAAACATATAGGCTATATTTACACTTCATTAGCCTATTTGCTATTGGCTTTTTTTATGTAGGCTATTAGATCGGTGTAATATTATTAAGAAGTAGTATTTTCCGCCTTCCTGTATAGTAACGATTTGCATTACTGCATGGCGTCTCATTGAGATCCAGCCTCTTTAGACAGAGAATTGTGCAGACTGCTGTCACTTGGGTCCCTGGTGGTGTCTAATGAGTTCTTATGTGCTGACTACCGTAAATTAATGTATATTTTAATACCCCAAAAACAAATACGCAAATAAATAAGTAGCCTTTATTCATAACTAACACGGCAACATTAAAAAAATTGTAAGGACCATTCGGACCACTGGAGAAACTGATCGCTCCGGATCATATGCCCATGCGGTATGCAGCGCGCGCTGGGCCCTCCGTGCCCCCCGTCTCTCTTGAGCGCGAGAATAGAGCTTAATGAAATATGTATGCAGAGTGACGTGACGTGTGGGGTTTCCTTTCTATAGAATGAGAAGTTCAAGTCTCTGTGCTTTGAGGGACAAGACGAGGAGACGGACAGGTGAGGAAAAGGGCCACTGAACTAGGGTTGAGACTATTTCATGTATTTAAAATAACCTTCAATCAGTTCATAAACTGTTTGGTGGCATATAAAAGGATAAACCTAAAAAGGTTTTTAATAGATGCAGTAAGAATGTAGGCCTATAGTAAGATAACATAAAGAGTCTTTATTATAACCTGTTTGTTTGTTTGTTTGCTCGCTTGTTTGTTTACTTTAATTCCCAGGCCTTTTTACGATGTTATGAAGCTAATCTACATTTATAAAAAAAAGTAGCTAGTTTGTTGCTTTGCAAACTCTAATATAGGCTACTGACATTTAATTTAA